TGTAGGTATGGTAAATAGATTCATGCAGAAGCCAAATGTATCACATCTAGCAGCAGTGAAGAGGATACTAAGGTATCTCAAAGGAACTCTCGACTATGGCATTTTGTTTCCTGCAGGTGATAAAGGAAAAGAATGCAAGTTAGTGGGATACACTGATTCGAGTTGGTGTAGTGATGCTGAAGATCGAAAATCAACAGCATGATATGTGTTTATGTTAGGTGGTGCACCAGTTGCTTGGAGTTCAAGAAAGGAACCAGTAGTGGCATTATCATCATGCGAAGCAGAATACATAGTTGCTTCTCTTTGTGCATGTCAAGCAGCTTGGATGGTGAACTTGGTCGAAGAGATAACAGAAAAAGATCATGGAGCAATTACCATGAAGACCAACAGCATGTCAGGTATCAATCTGGCGAAGAACCCGATAGCACATAGTCGAAGTAAGCACATCTAAATAAGGTTCCACTATCTTAGAGAGCAGGTAGAAAATGGGAAGATTAATTTGGAACACTGCAGAACTGAGAATCAGATTGCAGACATCATGACAAAGGGAGTGCAGGTCGAAGTATTTAGAAGACTAAGAGATATAATGAATATAGATAGTTTAGACACAATGAATTAAGTGGTGTGTTAAATTGTAATCCATAGTGTCAAAATTATGTGTGTCGAAGGGTTTAGAGGTTGATCGAAGCAGGTTGCTCGAAGGAAGTCATTGCTCAGTCGAAGAGCTTGTGGATCGAAGCAAGCTATACACGCAGATTAGATTTTTTAAGATTTAGATAGATTTGATTTAGATCTAAAATAAATATTTTTTACTTTTATAGTTATGGATTGTGGCTAACCTAAATCTATAAATAGATGAAGTAACCCCTAGTTTTGTAATCAAGACAATCAAGTCAATTAAGTTGTATTCACAGAATTTGCAGTTGCAAGTGAATAACAAAGTTTTCCACAGTTTGTGGGCAGAGAGAAATTCTACATAAAATAATTGTCTTTTTTTCTTTTCTTTTCTCATAATTCATTGTCATTGTGTGGTAATATCAATCTTGTTCATCAAGATAGGTAGAAATTCATCATAGAGATTTGGTGGATTCCAATATATTTCAAGTTATAAAATATTTCTTCCGTCCTAAAATACAATAAAGAAAAAAACAAAATCATAATTATTAAGAAAAAAATACATAGGAAAATGTAAAAACAATTCTAATTAGTTGTTGATTATAGAAAATATGAAAGAAAGAAAGTAATTAAATGTAATTTGTATTTAATTTTATCTTGGAAAAAATAAAAGTTGAATTTTTCTCTTATATTTTAGAACAACAAAAATATTTTTTTTTCACTTATATTTTGTGACAGAGAGACTAAGATTCATGAAAATATTATATTGAAAATACAATAATTTTATGTTTGTTTCAATTTTTTAAAAATTATTTGAGGATATTTTTTATTTCTGAAAATATTTTTTACACATGAGTTTTCTCATATTTATTCTCATGTTAAAAAATAACGATCCAACATTTCTATAAGAATAAAATTTAATTAATTTAACTTTCCACTAATATTTCATTTACTTTTATTTTTATAATTTTTTATTTAAATTAAATTTGTAAACATATCCAAAAAAAATTAATTTTTCATCAAACACATACATGAAAATATCATTTTTAAGAATAATAATTCTAAGAATATAATTTCAAGAAATAATATTTTATAACTGAAAGCAAACACAGACATTTTATTATTATATATTATTTTTTAAAATTTAAATAATAAGAATTTTTACTATGTTAAAACTATCTTGAACAATAGTAATATTATGAATTTTCATGAATAGACTTTAACTAATTGTTGTGAGATTACTACTAAAAATAAAAAGAGATAATAAACCTTGGTATTGGAGCACATATTCTTCATAGCAGCGGCTAGGTATAATATGCTAATAGCATTCGCATGAAAAATCAGGATCCATGTGAAATTTTAAATTAAATATTTTAATATAATAAAAATATTTTTTTTAAATTGTATTTTAATTTTAAAATTTTTGAGATGTAAGATCATTAAATCATTGAAATTAATTTTTTTAAATATTTATTAATTGATAATAAAATCAATACATCTAAACACTTTTTATCTCTCTAAAAAAATCATATTTTTTAGATTGATTATATCCCTCCTTCCCATGCCTCTTGGATTGTGAAAGCGATATTTAAACACAAGGAGGAATTGATGGACTTGACGGTTTGAGATGAATTCCGGAATAGGGGCGGTTACCGTACTAGAGATATGTACAAGTTGCTTAGGGGGTGAATACCAAAGTTAGGTGGGAAAAGGTTATCCTAGGTAATTGTGTTCGTCCTAGGGCCACTTTCATCACTTGGATGACACTCCTAGGTAGACTGCCTGCTAAGGATGGGTTGCGCAGGTTTGGTATCCAAAATGATGGTTTGTGCGTGTTTTGCGGAACAAATGAGGATATTCAACATAAACATTTGGAACCAAGTTTTAGATAAAGATGAGGAGTACCGTTGGGCGACCAATGGAGTGATGGGGTTGGATTGGATCATTAGCAATACTAAAGGCAAAAGTATGAAGTGTAGGAAAGCTAAACTGATTGTTGCAGAATCCATCTATAGTATTTGGACTACCCGGAATATGATTATATTTCAGAATCATACTAAAGATTTTTTTCAATTGGGAGAGTTAAAGTATAGAATTGAAATGTGTATGGGGAAAATTAATACTAGTCCATGATTGTGGTTGAGTATAGTTGTCTAGTCTTTTAGTTTATTGGATGTTGTTGACTTGGGTCTGGATCTTTGGATCGACTTTGTATTAACTGTTTTTGAATTAATATATATTTTCGTTTCTCCAAAAAAATCATATTTTATAAAACATTAATCAAATCCTTTAATAAAATATTTATATTACAAATATTACTTTATATAAGAGAATTTAAAGGTTTATTATCTATAACAATGATTTTTAAATTAACTATACAATACACATCTTAAATAGGTATTATTATTATATAAATTCTTAATAGATATTATTATTTAATTGATATAGAAAATAATTTATTTTTTTAAACATAATTAATTAGAATCATATAAATAAATAAAATTGAGTCTAGCCTGCGTGACCTACCTAATGGTTGTCCCTAGCAAAAACAATATTCAGTAAAAGAATTTATGTGAGAATGATGAATGATAAATAATAAGTAAAACATAGAGAAAAGCATATATTTTTTTTCAACCTAATGATAAATCATCAATTAGAGAGTGACTGTATTAGAATAATCAAATATTGAATAGAGGATTGACAAAATTTGCATGAGTTTGTTTTCAACGTAGAAATTCTCCCAAAAGTGGTTCTAGTTAAAGTTAGAATTTCTAACTTTTCAAATTGACGAAAAAAATGACGCAAAAAAAAGCTCACACATGTTATGTCGTGTACCCCTTAGGGGAAAAGGGTACACATGTTATGTCGTAGTAATGATAAATGGTAATAATTAAGTTCTTTTTCAAAGTTCTTAATTAAATTAATATTTTTTATTTCTTATATTTAAATTCTTTATATTTTTATTTTTTATGAAGCTAAGTAAAAGATATTCTATAAAATATAGGTTTGCAAATAAATTTGGGGAGAATTTTCGTAACTTCGTAAACTTGAGGGTGCATTAATTTAAAACTTGAGGGTGCATTTCACTTAAAGAAGAAAAAACTACTAAGATATTAAATACATCAATTTAATTTTCTCTCATGTCATGAATACTTCAAAGAAAGGGAATGGTTAAAGAGATTCAAATCAAACGGAAGGGAATGATTGATTATAGACGGAGAGTCAATAATTATTTTATAGACATGTTTATAATATTATAAAAAAAAATTTAAAAATAGAAACTCTTAATTTAATTTTCAAATCAAAATTTTATTATTTTTATAATTTTTTTAAATTAAGAAAATTTATATTTAATTCTTCTTATTTATTAAAAATTTAAATTTGATAAATAAATATTTTATAATATTTTAAACACGGATGTAAAAAATTATTTAAAAATTTAAATTTTTAAGAATAATTAAACTGTTTTTAAATTTTTTAAAAATAACAGAAACTAAAATTATATGAATAAAAAAAATTTAAGAATCAAAATTTGTCATTACTTTAATAGAGACTAAAAATAAAATTTTAATTATTTATAAAGATCAAAAATATATTTAACTAAAATAAAATTTAACATGTAAATACTAGAAGATTTATAAAGATCAAAAATATATTTAACCAAAAAAAATTCAAAATTTAACAAGTAAATACTAGAAGATTTGTAAGAATACTAAAGAATTTAAATAAAAAATATTTAATTCAACCTATAACATTACAATAATTATAATATTAATAATAAATATTTATTTATCATTTTACACAAAAAAAATATATAAGATTAAAATATTATTTAATTTTACTATACTCATCTCTGCGAGTTATCCACTTCATTCCTTTCCAACGAAATTTTTAGCTTCAAATGACTTAAAAGGCACTTATTTTGTCTAATTTGTTAACACCAAATTAAGTTATTCGGATAGAAAGAAGATATTTTGATTAATCTCTTTTTCAAAAATACATTATATCTTTATAATGGCAGTCAATACTATTAAGTAACAGCTTCAATTCCGCATTGAAGCAACACCTCTGCCTTCAAATTCATGTTATCAGATCTCTTGTGTTTCTATTATTTCACAAATTAGTGTAAGAAAATCGTCAATTAGACCGTGCGAATCACCCTTCCAATCATCCGATCCGATTGACGAAATCGTTCGCTAGAAACTTGTTGTGTAAGTGAATCTCGCAAGCTACCTTAAGTTGATCATAGTCAAGGTTATGCCCACTTCAATTTTTTGCAAGCTCAGAAGATCAAGATTAGGTGTAGCACATGAAATCCATGTATCACAAGATCTTCATGGCACAAGGCAGTTTTAAGCGGCGTAAACTTCACGTTCTATCGAAAATCAATACCACTGGCTACCTGCTCCGCCTTGAGCAGCAGCGACTTTCCTTGCTATGTATTGAGGCTTTGGCTGCATCCTGTTAGAACCTTCAATCCCATCGTCTTCTATCCTCTCGCTTTTATAGTTTGGATTTCTTCGCGGATAGCTTGAAGCAGCATACTGATTCGAAACAGATGCATTCCTAACCACCCTCCGTTGTTCGGTTTCTGCTGCCACCCCACAGTTGTTATAATGCATTGCAGAACCAACAACTTTTCCGGGTCTTGCAGCAAGACCTGCCACAAATGTACATCGGATGAGAGCAAATTACCATATTCTATACGATAAATTTTTAATTCGAAGGTATTTGTGTTGTGACATTTTACTGCCAATTTGTAAATACTCAGGTTAGTAATCAAACCTTGAATGTTTTGAGGAGTTTGTAAAGGAAGCCGGGTCATCGGAAGAATAGCACTACTCCTATCTACAGGCGGTTTCTCAACTTCTTTGATGCAACATTTGGATAGATCCTCTGCAACCTCAGCCGTATTCTGCATCGTGTTATCAGAATACAACACACACGCTCTGCATGTACATCATTGACTCAGCAGAGACAGTAGGCAATTTCAAAGCAAACAAATGGGTGTCTTTCAAATTGGCATTTTTCAAGGTTAAATAACGGCATTGGCCAAAGAGGAAAGTGGAAATTTTCGAAAAAAAAGCAAGAAAATTAGGATACCTAGGCAACGAAGACGCATGTTGTCGCTCAGGTGGAGCAACCGTTCCCCCCTTTCCATAATGCTCCTCAAGATATGCAAATTGCTTCTTGAAAAGGTCTACAGCACTATTCAAAATAGATTGGGAACAAAGCGGTGAAATCAGAGACTGAACTTGCACAATACATATATTAGGAGTCAAAACATACAAATAAATATATCCAAAAATATGTTTCGATAATAGCATAATCAGGTAAATTTTCGAAAAGAAAACAAATGGTGATATGTTGAGTGTGGAAAAGAAATAGAAAATGTGCATAAGTTAAATGCAAATAAATAAGGTACGGCTTTAGACAAATGCTAATAATTATCCAAGTTTACGAACTGTTGACAACAAGTGAAACAAATAATGAAAAGAGTTCATAAAGTGCTTAAACCAATGCAAAAAGAATTGAGATGTGAAACAAAAATTTGGGTAGAGGTTTAGACAAAACCTTGGATACATGAAACCCGTTGGCTCTGATCCCTCTAGAAATTCCTTTAACATCTTCGGATGGTACTCCAATATTTCTCGGTATATAAGCTCTCTTACATCTTCCTTTGTTATCCTCCGCCTCTCAAATTCAAATTCCATCTTCGTAACTGGCTGAGCAGAAGGTTCTCTCTCGACCTTGGCCAAGCCTTTAAAATAAGGATCTGCTAGGGCCTGACATTATTACGCACAAGATGAACGGTTAACCAGATATAACTATACAAGAGAAAGTAAACTACAGATAGTCGGACATCAGGATTCAACCTCTTCAGCAGTAGGCCGGTCCTTAGCCTCAAATGCCAGCATTCTTTCTAACAGCCGTAGAGCAAGGGGGTCTGTATTAGGAAACTTATGCGCGAAAGGAACTGGCTTCTTTTTACGCATGCTGCTCAAGTATCTCCGAGCTTTCTCATTTCGTACCTATTAATTAATATATTTCCAGTAAGTAACAAAATAAAATAAACAAATCGGTACAAAGAAAAGCTGAACAACAAACCCTTGCAATGGCTTCTGGAGATGGTGTCCCAAGAAAATCAGTCATGATATCCAATTGATGAACAACATTCTTCCCAGGGAAAAGAGGTTTTCCGGTTAAAAGTTCTGCAAATATGCAGCCAATGCTCCATATGTCTATAGCCGGTGTATACTGGAAAATAAAAGGTTTTCAATCGTATAGTGAGATATACACAAATGAATAAAAACATTAAAGATCTTCACTTAACTAACTTGATCAACCTACTATTTGATAAGACTAAAAATTAAACATTTCAACAGTATTATGCATAAGTATGCAATCAACTATTTTTCACAAAACATATTAGCAAAAGAAACACAAAATAATAGGCACCGATTCTTTTTTAATGGTTAAATCATAAACCATAAAGAATTCAGTGTAATTAAAAGTGAAATGTGGCCTACAGCCATTTAGTTTAGGTCCAACAAATCATAAAAGTGAGAAGCAACGGAACATTGGAGCAACATATATAAGGAGTCTGCGTTGACTGTTCCACATTGAATGTTATTAGACCAAAAAAGTGTGTAGAAGTGGAAAAACATCTCTCGCCTTACAAGCTAGTTTTGTATAGTTGAGTTAGGTTCAATTCAAATTCGAAGAACTAGCTTATAAACAAAGCTTGCATGCCTATATAAGTCAACATCCATTGATTGATTGGATTTTATGGATATCACTGAGGGAGGATGAAAAGGATGGACCGAAATTATCAAATATAAAATAAAAATATATCACGAAATCTTATATGATAAATATAACATAAATTGCACCTTGGAGAAAAAGGATCCACACAACTCGGGAGCCCTATACCACCTTGTTGCAACATAATCCTGTTAGCAAACAAACTGAATTAATAAAGATGAATCAAGAACTATACAGTAGGTTGATAGTTACAGGGCAAAGATTCATACTGTCCAGAATATAGCAGTGGGTGTGTCATTAAAAGCTACTCTGGCAAGACCAAAGTCACAAATCTTCAGTTTGCAGTCAGCATTCGCCAAAATGTTTTTTGGCTTTAAATCTCGGTGAAAAACATTTGCTACAAGACCATTACAAAGTTTAAGATCAGTATCAATGATCATATAATTTAGCATCTAGTTTTGTGCAATAACAAAAGTGAACATGCTACGGCAATCAAATCTTCTACCTGTGTGTATATACTTCAAACCTCGTAGAAGCTGATAGAGGAAAAACTGGTAATGCTCCGGTGTTAGATCATCATTTGCTTTGATGACCTGATGTAAATCAGATTCCATGAGTTCAAAAACAACATATATATCCTTGAATTCCCTTCTTGAAGGAGGCAACAAAATATGTTTGATCTCTACAATATCCGGATGACGTAAAAGTCTAAGAAGCTTAATCTCACGAAGAATGCGAGTAGCGTCAGATACGTGTTCAAATATGTCATTGATTTTCTTTATCGCAACCTTTTCACCAGTGTGTGTATCAAACGCGGAGCAAACAACGCCGTAACTTCCTTTACCAATCACTTCCTCTATTTTGTATCTGCTCCCTTCACCATATTCCGTAAAGAAATCTACCTCCACCGATGACTGCATAAACATAGCAAAACCCAACTATTTAACAAAGATACTAATTACTAAGCAAACTAAAAGCTACAAATAAGTCGAAACGATTACAACCCTCGAAACAAAATCAGGTGGTCCACTGTTCAGTTCAAACCCTAGAAACTACATAATCTACTAACACTTGTTTATCCAAAACTAAATAAAAAAACAGTTCCAAGGAAAGTGGAATAGTTAGACTTAGAGCAGAATAACAGTATAAAAGAACAAAATTTCAAACATGAATAGTAAACCAAATGTTACATCTATATCCTACATGTGAAGAACTCATAATACAAAATCAACCAGTTGAAAAACTTCACCTTTTTCCTCTGATCAGGATGCATCTTTGCAACCAAAGCATAAAACCCCTCCAAATTATTTCTCAATTCAAATCCAGATCACTCAAACTCCCACTTCCAAATGCAAAGAAAAACCCAAATCCGCAACAACTAGAACCAAATCAAAAGGAGAAAACTTTGAATTCTATACAGGACAGAACTCAAAAACGAAAACGACCCAGTAAAATTAAGCGACCAATAGAGGCACTACGATTGAAAAATTACAAAAAAAAAAAAAAAAAAAAAACAGACACGCGTACTAGAATACAACAACAACTACGTTAGAATCGAAAACCCTTAAAAATGAACGGGTGAAGTATCGAAATGTGTCTTCAAAATTGTAACAGAAAATGAAAAACACGAAATATTGGATCTCAGAGATAACGCGCAGTTGAAATTCGAAGTTGAGGTTGAACAAGGTTGTGGTGAAGACAGAGAGTTAAGACACAGACAGAGACATAAAGGACCGAATATGAAAAGGGAAAAATATATATTATTTTTTATTATTTTTAATGATTTTTTATTTTCTTATTATAATATTCGAAAATGATGTGATTTTTGTTTTTTGGTTTGAAAAATGATGTGATTTAAAAGGAATAATGGTATGGTAGTATTAATTTGTGGCTAAGTTACGAGGATAATAAGGATGTGTCTTTGCCATTCAATTTTCTCTATCCTTTTAATTGTCAATGTACAATGTATTTTAGTTATAATAAAAATTTAATATAATTAATATTAATAACATAAATAATTATAATTTTAAATAAATATTACTTTGCAATATTTCTAATTAATAATAAAAGTGATTTTGATAAGATATTATGTGGAAGAGAGATTGGAGCTCATGTGTGCTTTATTTATCGGCAATATTTATCGGCAATAATGAGTCTTATGTTTTATTTCAATTCACGGTAGAAATAATTATTTTAATAGAATTGAGTTTAATAGAATTAATTTTAAAATAATTAATTTATATTTGAATAAATTTATATAAAAATGAGTTAAATAATAAATTTTAATAAAAAAATTATTCAAAATCAATTTTAAAAATAAAAGTTATAAGTTATAATTTTAAATAGATTTTAAAGTTAAATTCAATTTTATTTTTGATAAATCAAACAGCTTAAAATCATTCGAAATCAATTTTATATTTTTAAAATTGATTATTAATCTTTCAAAAGTCAATTTAAACATACTATTAGTCCAAAATAATAACTAATAATTTAATTAATTGATAATAAACATAACTATAAGAGAAATAATCCAAAACTTTAAAACGATAAAACTATGTTCACAGTAAACCAAAAAAAAAAATTATGTCTAAATAAAACAAAGAAATTGAAAGATTAAGTGGAAAAAAAAATTGAAAGATTTTATAACATTATTTAGTAAAATAATAGTTGACAATAACATAGAGTAACTTACTAAAATACAGTAACATATGATTGTTTGCCATAAATTTGATTTCATCTAGATTGTTAATCTCTTTCGACAAATAAATTAATAAATAAATTAACATTTTGAAATTGAAATTGACGTTGCTAATAAAACTAGTCAAAGACTTTCTCGTATGGGTGAATTTATTTAAATATTGATGAAATAATATTTTTACATATATATATATATATATATATATATAACTCATATTTATTTAAAATATATATATAACTCATATTTATTTAAAAAGTATAATAAAAAATTATGAAATCAAAATATTACAATAAATAATGATAAAATATAATGATAAACTTGACAAATGATATATTTAGATTTACATGTGAATTTAAATTGAATTTCGTAATGGTAAAATAAACGATTATTATATAAAGTCAATTGTATTAAATAATTATAAAAAAAACTTTTGACATAAAAAAATTTGACATTTAAGAATAATGAAAATAATTTGATAGTGATTTGTAAGATAAAAAATTAGTGGTATGAATGACTATGTAATATTATTCAATTTTATAAAATACATTTTTAATTTTATTGAAGTTAAAAAATAGATTAATTAATATTTTTAGTGATAATAAATAAATAAAATAGATTAAATATGTCTTAAATAAAAAAACAATTTACAATACAATAAAAATAATTGTTAATTTAAATAAAATAAATGATTCAAAGTGACCCGTGAGTTATATCTGCAATTATACTCACATTTCTTTGCATATATTTATTTAAAAAAGCTATTGAATTACATATTGTGCAAAAAGTTTCTCAATAATATATTATAAACAAAATACATAGCTTCAACCATATTACAACACATAAGGTTGAAAGTATATTGTATCATATAAAATACTATTTTGGATGTTGTTTGCTAAATCTAAAACTCACAACTGCTTATTTAAGTAATACATAAGTATTCGGTTGCTAAAGAATTGGTAGGACACGCATGTATATATCTCCAATGCATTGCCTTAATTTGATAGGGAAGGTTCAACAAACTTAAAATTAAATAACTTTTTAAAAATAACAAATGAAATGTATCTTGAAATATTAAATTAAATTTATTAAAATATTATATTTGATTTGATTAAATTTAATATTTAGATATAATTTAGGTTTAGTAGATTTAAGTTCAATTAAGATTGTATATAAATAGTCGTGGTTTGTATCATTATTTGTACAACTTAATAATATAAATTCTTATTTTCTTTATTATTTTTTATTTCTTTCCTTACTAAAAGTGTCTCACGCACTAACAAATTGGTATTCAGAGCTTCCGGTTATTGTTCTTGATCGAGTTTTCAAGAATGTCACGTCAGAGATCGTATTTCTAGGGCAAGTGAATCAACCGCTGCGAAGATGGCTAATGATAAGGGCATTCCAAATTCTCTTCCAATGCTTGACGGCAAGAATTGGATCCGATAGAAAAAAAACAGATGTAATCCTTGTTTGACTTTCATGAAATCCTAGAAGTGGTTATCGACGACGTTCTTGCGTTAATTGCAAATGCAATCGACGAACAGAAAAAAGCTCACAACAAAGTCAAGAAGAAAGATTGCAAGGTTGTTTATTGCATTCAGACGGCGATCGATGCTGCTAATTTCGACAGAATCTCTCATGCTGAAACGGCGAATGAGGCATGGCATATTCTGGTGAAATATTACGAAGGAGGTGAGAAAGTCAAGGTTGTCAAGTTACAAACCTTGCGTCGACAATATGAGTTGCTGTCGATGGAAGAAGATGAAAAAGTTGCAGAATATGTGTCAAAGTTTCAAAAACTCGTCCATCTAATGAAGGGTTGTGGTGAAACCATAACTGATAAGATGATAGTTGAGAAGGTAATGAGAATGTTGACCTCTTACTTTGATCACGTTATCGTAGCTATTCAAGAATCCAACAATCTTGAAACCACTAAAGTGAAAGATTTGCTTGGTTCATTGGAGGCGCATGAGATGAGGATTGTCGAAAGGAAAGGAGTGCAAGACTCGATACAGGTTCTGCAAGCTCAGTCATGGAAAAAGGATGGTAGTTCCAACAAATTCAAAGGCAAGTTCGACAAGACTCAGGGCAAGAAGTCTTGGTCGAAACCTCACAATTATCAGGTCAAAGATTGAACTTCTGAATCCTCGAAAGGAGGAGGAGGAGGAAACTATCAAAAGGGCAAAGAAGATATAAAAAAGGTGCGCAATGCTATAACTGTGAAAAGTGGGGCCACGTAGCCAAAAATTGTTGGTACAGAAAAGACAAGGAATCGACAAGCAAGGACGAAGGAGAAAACCTTGCACGCCAAGATTCAGATGATTCTTAAGGTGTATGGTGGTTATGGTTGCAGTTGCAGATAACCGTGTCGAATCCAAGATCTATTTTTTCGACTCGGGCTGCTCGAACCACATGACTGGTGGAAAGGAGTGGTTGGCATATTTTGACGAGTCGAAGAAGAGCAAGGTAAAACTTGCTGATAATAGTTCTTTGCAAGCAGAAGGTACTGGAAATATAGTCTTTCAAATGAGTAATGGAGGAAAAGCTATGATCAAAAATGTGTTTTATGTACCTGGAATAAAGTGCAACTTGTTAAGTGTTGGACAACTCGTTGAAAAAGGTTTCTCAGTTGTCATGAAAGATGGAGTTTTGAAATTGTTCGACGCCAAGAACAATTTGGTCTTAAAATCTCCTTTGTCGAAGAACAGGACATTTAAGACTATGATCAGTTCGACTGAAGTTCAATGTTTGAAAATTGTTGTTGACCATAATGTCGATGAAAAAACTAATGAAGTAGAGGTGGAAGGAATTGTTGAGAATCCAGTCGAAGTCAAAAAAGAAATAGTTGCTGACATTCCCGACACAATCAAAGTCGAAGAGGTTGTGGCTGAAACAAGTCAAAGACTTCAAATAAATAGAATTATTCTAACAAGACTTCATGATTATGAAGTGGTGGGTGATGATGAAATCACGCCAGATGGAGAATTAGTTTATAGCAAAGCTTTGAAGACTAAATAGTGGAAGTTAGTTATGGTCGAAGAGTTATAGACAATCGAAAGAAATAACACATGGGAGTTAGTCAAATTATCAGCACATACAAAAGTTATCGAAGTAAAATGGATATTCAAGTTGAAACATAATGATGATGGCTTAATAGCAAGACATAAAGCAACATTAGTAGCTCTAGGGTTTCTTCAAATAGAAGGACTCGACTACTCTGAAGTATTTTCTCCAGTAGCAAAATTGGAGTATGTTTAACTAGTGGTAGCATTGGCATGTAACCAAGGCTGGTCGATATTTCATTTAGATGTGAAATCAGCATTTCTGAATGGTCCTTTAGACAAAGAGGTCTATGTCACACAACCTTAAGGGTTTGTGATTCAGAATGAAGTGAATAAAGTATATAAGTTGCACAAAGCGCTTTATGGCCTCAAGCAGACACCTAAGGCATGGAACAAGAAGATCGACTCATACTTAGCGAATTGAGATTTGTCAAATGCAAATTTGAGTATGGTGTCTATGTTCAGATTGTAGCACAAGATATAACAATCATCTGCTTATATGTCGATGACTTG